TTTTGTCAGTTTCAAGTTATTTCAGTGACCATTGTGGGTTTTTCTGTCTTTAATGGAAGGGTACTAACCATTTTGTTCATGTGTGTGTGTATGTGTGTTGATTTGATGCAGATTAGATTGTGTTCTTGAAAGGAAAAATAGGCTTCTCTGTGTCAGATGACTCACTGTGTTGGGGTTATAGAGCCATGTCTGGCAACAGCTGCTGATTATCAGAGTATAATCTTTATCTTGACGCTGGAATGGTCTCTTCAATGTGATACAACAATCTCCTTTTGCACCCCCCTCACTCTCTTTACATCCTCCTATCTGTCAGAGGGCTGGCTTAAATTTCTCACACTGGTCTTTCCCATCCGGCCCACATTCGTGGTGCCTTTTATTGTACAGGCCTGGAGAGTTGTGATGGAGATATCATGTCATCTGTGCTGAGGCATGTGCAGCCTCTGTGTGTAGACAGATATCAGCCTTTCATTAAAGATAGGATATCTACCAGTGAGTGCTGTCCACATCACATATGACACAATGGACTGTGTGTAGGCCTACTAATATCATATTTGACTATGTGTAAAGTATTGCATTTTATTACAGTGATTATGTATGGGGTACTCCCAATGTGAATTTAATGTAGTATAACATTTAGATTCCATACATTAGTAGTGTTTGCTGGAGCACAAAAAAAAGGTGCTTTGTTGTTTTTATATAAAATGTATATAAAATTACTGAAATCACGCATGCTCCACCACATAGGGCTTCTTCCTTTCACTATCATTTAAAAACATTGAATTAGTCTGATAAAAGTATGAAAGTTGGCCACCCGGCCTTACCACCCATTATTGTCTGTGCTTGCTGCGATCTGTGATTAGGGTACTCCCAAGGTCTGGTTCCTGCCTCAGACAATGTGTTGCACATGGTCCAAAAGAAGAACTCAAAAGGCATCACTGAAAAGAATTCTCAATGTAACAGTTACAGTACAGAACTAATAACAGGAGCATACATTTTGAGTTGGTGTTCTGCAAACTCCAGCTTCAAGCTACAGCAGTTCTTTTGCAGAAATATCATATTTTACTCATCAGGTTGTATAAGAATATGTGCCGTTTTGGGCCTTGTTTTGGTGCCCAACCCTAAAAATAGTGATCAAGAAAGTACACCCCTGTTTTTCACCAGGGCTGTGTCACTGGCAATAGAATTATATTATTTATAGTGATAGTTATAGACTACTTCAAACCATTATTCTTATTCTTCACATTATTCTCAGAACTAGCCACTTTATTTTGTGATGACTGTATTGTTGGGTATTGTATTAATGACAAACTGCTGGTAAGTTACATCTGACATTTGAAGCTAAAGATATCAGATAATAAATGATCCTGCTGACAGCTGTGTCTCACTTTGGCTGCTAAGCTAATGTTATAGTTTCACTCTGAGACAGACAGAACAAGCTGCTGCTGCTGCTGCTGCTCAGCTCTGAATGGTCCACAGATCCCAATTAAGGCGATTAAATCATCAATGTGACTGATGAATTTAAAGTACAACTGAAAGATTCTGATTATTGTTTACTATACAGTCGTGCTAGCTGTCAGTCAGTATTTCAGTGCTGTCTGCCTAAAGAGTACAGGGGTATGTGACCTGCAGAGTCAGCGAACTGTAGATGAGAAGGCTGCTAACACTGATTCTTTCATTGATTTTATGGGGCACAGGGAGGTTGTAAAATTGAGACAAATATTATGTTTTAAGGGAGTCATTGTCACACAAAAATATAGACTTGCAGTTAATCTTCTCAGTGTTAAATGCATTTTTTGTTTTTAATTGCTTTTACTTGTTTCTTCAATGTAAAATCATTTTATAAATGAATCTGGCTGTGTGTTGTTTTACAGGTATGGCGTAACACCTGAGAACATCATCCTGTACGGTCAGAGCATTGGCACCGTGCCCACCATCGACCTGGCTGCTCGCTATGAATGCGCCGCCGTCATCCTACACTCACCACTCATGTCAGGGCTACGAGTGGCCTTCCCTGATACACGGAAGACCTACTGCTTTGATGCTTTCCCCAGGTGAGTCTCACGAACACACCATCATCACATGCACACCACAGCAACAGTTTCCTAGGCAACTAGCAACCGTATTTTAAAATCCAGTTGCCACTGTTGGCAGCAAGGCCAAAATACCACATCCCTATCTAAGTATGCAGTTTTCCTGGCTAGCAGTGTTTTAGTCTTTGGTCTCCTTTGAAAAAATATTAGTTTTAGTCAAATTTCAGTCATTTGTTTTTTGTTTGTAAAAAATGTAATCTAGTTTTTGTCAATTATTTTTTAGTCAAAGTTTTGTTATTCATTTTTAATATATTTGTCTTATTGTAATTATTTTGAGACTATTGTTGTTGCCATGTCTGTAGTCTACAGTTACCATGGTTACAGGTGTTCTTGTCTAATGTAAGGTTAGTGGGGAAGGCACTGTTAACTTTTTCTCTCACAGTGTCCATGTCACTCTGCGATAATACAGCAGACCAATTCTCCTCAGTAAAGCCAGTTGTCATTTCCAAACATTGGTTGTTTCAGAACATCTCGCTGCTGTTCCTTACCTGTTGTAAATCAACTGTCTGTTAATGAGCATTTTCTTTCATTGACCTTTATGAAAAGAATAACTGTGTTGCTTGGGTTTAATATTTACTACATAGCTTTTTATTGTAAGTTAAATAATGATTTATTTCTTAGCTCCTTGTAACCTGGTTTCTAGCATAGCCATAATTTCCACTAACACACTCCTCTCATGTCATCTTTGCAGATTTTTAGCTGTAATCTCTGCTGTACAAAAACACTTGTTGGTTCTCTCTGTCCTGCTGTTGTTACAGCCATGTCATGGCTGTTCTACTTGTCTATGGAGTGGTCTATTCTGTTGAGATGGTGGTGTTTTCATCCACAATTTCTTTTGTTATCACAGTTATATTTTTCTTCCATTTTCTGCCACTTATCTGTGGTAGCAGGCAAAGCAAGTCCCTCCTTCGGGATCTAAAGGCATCCCCAATATGATGGAATATGTAATTCCTTCAGTGTGTTTCTGGGTCTTTCCCCCGACGTCTCCTTCCAGTAGGACATGCCTTGAATATCTCCACAGGGTTGCATCCAGGAAGTACCCTTGTCAGACACCTGAACCACCACAACTGACTTGAAGGAGCAGTGGTTCTCCTCCAAGCTCTCTCCGGATGTCTGAGCGCCTCACCCAGTCACTAAGGGGAAACCCAGACACCCTGCCAAGGAAACTCCTTTCGGCCACTCCTATATGTCCTCTCAGTCTTCAGATCCCTATAGGTTGCAGTGTACTGCACATGCACCAGTAAATTGAGAACTTCGCCTTCAGTCAAGTGGCAATCCACACACACACTAGCAGCTGAAGACATCATCAAAGCTCCCTAAAAGGCTCATGCTTTTTTTTAATGCACTTTTTTTTTTACAAGTCTCTTGTAGCTGACAAATTGACATCATCATTATTGCACCTGTGCCAGACCTAGAAATTACATTAATTTGGAATCGGCTAATTCTTTTTGAGGGAAACATAATGCTGACTGAATTATGTGTTCTATTAACATAATAAGGACATTTCACAAAAATTTTGATACTTAACATATCATGAAAACATATCAGCGTATCATTGACAACAAATTTCATGTGTTTTCCGCCACTCAGGCAAAATACTTTTTTATTAACATTTAACCAAAATCCCAATCTTTCCCTAACTTTAACCAAAGTGTTTTTGTTGCAGGAGTCTAGATGCAAACCCTGGACTGTGGCTTATAAAAAGTGTTTTATTGCAAAACGCATGAAAATCTAAATGACTGGACTCAATTTCTTTTTTTTTTTCTTTGGCAAGTGACCATTGTATAAGCGGGATAAGGACTTCTGAGGTGTCCATAATCAGGAATTAATGGATGCCTCTACATCGCCCATTAATTTCTGATAATGGATGCCTCGTCAGACATTAAATCTTACATGGATCATTTGATAGCTGAGCCCATAGTGTAAGTTCCTATATGTTTCTTAGTTCTTTAGCTTACTTTGCAAGAAGACTTCTTATTGCTTGCACTATTCATTTCTCTTTTCTTGCTGCACAATGATCTGATGGATTTTGAACAATTGTTTACTCGGACTCTTACTAACCCACCACACTATGGCCCAAGTGCCTATCCTTTACACTTCCTGTACTCATATGCACCCCTGATTTGCATGTATGTGTGTAACAAAGACTTTTGTGATAGTTAAATAACTACTACAGAGCATATTCAGACTGCAGGCTTTTGATTTATTTTTTTAAGGGATGACTGAAAAAAACCAACCAACTTGCAGCCATAGAATTTACAATCCAAATGCGACAAAGTAAAGGCTTTAATATGCAGAGGTTTCCATGGAACTGCTGTTCAATTACATTCATCTTGCCGCAGATGGTCCGTCTTATCGCTCCTGCTTAGGAGTCAGCTAAGGGAGCATGCCGTTACTGCATATTAAGTATTGTCAAAGTAGAATATTGAGGTGGATTGATAATTTTAATCAGCTACTTCAGTTAAACCATCTGTAAAATTAGTGACATAAAACTTGGATGTTAGATAACCTAATGTAGCATATTTTCTCTCACACCCACTTTTTTTGGAGGAAAGCAGTACTTCACATCTATACAGTTCAGTTGCTCATGGTGCTGTAAGTTAGAAAGTGTTTTAGTGCATTGGGGTGTTTTAGGCAGCTGGTGAACAATAAACAAAGGATGAGAAGTGAATTGCGCCTTATGTAGCTAATTTCGATAGATATAAAATGCCTAGATTATCCACTAATACGGCTATTGTAGTCCCTAGCCCTATCTCTCCTTTGTCAGCCAAAATTTAGGAGAGCTTCGGAGGAGTCATAACCTTTTGATTGATGGGGTTCAGGCTGAGATATTCCTTGAGAGGAGAGATGATTAAGGATTGCTTGATGATCACAAGGCGATCGAAGATGAGTTATTTTTAGGGTTGACTTCGTGCAAGACCCAGAGGACAACACGTTGTTTCTGCAGAAAACAATTACCTTACAGAAAACTTTTTGCAACTAGGAAAATGCAGCTAAATTCTGTCAGAACTAACTATTTGGGCAGGTGTTAAATTTGAAATATGGGATTGATATCCTTGTTGTCATCTCAAAGTGTGTTTCCCAAAATATGAATTCGCTATTGTAAAATAAAACATCTGTGTGTATAGCGTTTCTATAAAAATTAATACTTTCACAGTGGCACGGTCTTGAAGAAACAGATGTTATTGGAGAAATACCCTCATTGGTTGTAAATTACATGAGGCAGGCGAAAAACTAGAGAGAGACGACATCAAACTGGAACACAGCACGTAACAACTCAACGAAATGCTGCATACCTTCGCTGCAATTAATGTCGAAATACTGAAGCGTAATTATTCATGCTTGCCAAGTGTCAGTGCAGTTCATTTAATCAAACTGGTAAATCAAGTAATGACTGGTGAGTGCTTGTATCTACATGTTGAGAAATCTTGCACGTAGCTCCAAATGGTGTCTGTAGGAAGCAAACTGCAAAGAAGCAGTATTCATTTTGGCAGCTGTTTGAGATTTAGTCTTAGTTTTTAGATGAAAAATGCTTATTAGTTTTAGGCACATTTTAGCCATTTTTATAGTTTTAGTCTACAACACCTCAAATCATTTTAAGCCGGTGTTAGATGAATAGATTGGTCATTACATTTTAGTTAAATTTTAGTCCAAATGTTTACTCTCTTTAAAGTAATTCGGTTAGACTAATATAGGTCAGGGTAATCTTTTCGGCGTCACGTCTCTTTTTTTTTTTTTTTTTTGGAAAAGCAGTATTCTTACGAAAGCCCAGTGGAGAAATTTCTTGTTAATAAATACACGCACACTGCGTACAAAAATACAAAAACACTGTACCTCTTTTTTTAAAAATGCTATATGTGAGAAGATTAATTTTATGTCCGTTCAATAAAATGAACACTGCAAAGAAGTCAATAATTTGCCAACACTTAACTGTTATGAGCCTTACTCTTCTTGCTATGTTCCAAGTACAAAATGAGCCAAGAACAAAACATATTTTCGGCCATTTATTCTGCCCAACAGTTGTGGTGTCAGCATGAGCCACTGGTCTGGGTTTGACCAACACTGGTGCTTAGGCTACTTTGGAGCCAAGAAGTGGCATTATGATGGTGGTGTTGTCAAAGCATCATGCCACCGCACTGGGTTCATAATTAAGTTACACAAAGAATTACTGCTTGTGTGACCAAATTATGAACAGTGAGGATGTTAAAATTTAATGACTCTGCTGTGTCTCCACAGATTTGTAGTCTGCAGCGTTGCATGGTGAAGAATATTAAGTGTAGGTCTCAGGGACGTGTTGCAAGATTGGATCCATTATCACATTAGTACATATGGTCATGCTTGTCGAGGGATGTTTGTTTATCCCTTTCAGACAAATCAATATACATTTAGGTAAAATTGAATATTATATATATATTTTGACACACTGTTGAGTTAACTCAAGACTGAGTCACAATTTAATATTTTAGATTGTACATGAATTTTAGTTCTGCTGAATTGTAATGTGTTATACTGTCTGGTGTTTCCATTATTTTTTCCACCCCATTTATATCAGTGAGGGTAGGCTAAAAAACGAACAAAAAACGTTGTATTAAAGGTCTATTGTGCACGATTCAGTTGCATCTAGCGGATGTAGTTGCTGATTGCAGTGTCCTCACCTCACCCTCCCCAAGTGTCTAGGTGAAACTATAGTAGCTTCCAAACTCACGAAAATATAGAGCCAATGTTTGGTCTGTACTTTCTGGGCTACCGTAGAAACGTGGTGGACTCCACAGTAGAGTCCCTCTGTAGATAAAAACAGCTCATTCTAAGGTTACAAAAACACAATGATTTTTATTTTAAACAGGAAATGCTTTCCAAATTCTGCACCAACCTTCATGAACAATGGACATTGATGCATAGGCAAACTTGTTGGGCTGTCCTGAGATGCAATTTTAACCAAAATGCTACCATCTGAGTGACGT